CCAACAACAACAACATGCAACTATTACTTTCGTCCATATGTCTGGCGTTGACGAGCGTCGTCATCGGAAACGCCTACTATCAGAAAAAGCAGTTCTATCCTGCGGTTGTGTACATCACTAAATCCAATGCTTCAATGGCTGTAAGTAGCAGCGTTTAAATCTTTTACTATGCAAATAAAATCGATGTAATGTATAATTTTAAGGTCATCTACATACAATTTTTCGTGATAGTTTTTATGTTTGGGAAATTGCTACGTAAGGTTAGTAAAAACATCCATTAACTTAAGTATTATTTATTCCATTCAAGAACTTCTAGATTTTTCTAGGCACATTACGAGCAGCTGAATTTGAACATCTACTTGAGCGATTTTGGTACGCACTTACGGAAACATGTCTTGCTTTTACTGTATTCCGCGATGACTTCAATCCGCGCTTTGTGGCCCTATTCACAGTGTTGCTATTCCTAAAGTCTTTCCATTGGCTGGCGGAAGAACGGGTTGATTTTGTAAGTTCCTCCGTACATAATTATTGTGATTTTTAATTCTGGAAAGGTAATCTAATAACACGCAACATTATATACAAAAAATAACATGTGTGTCTGATAGAAGAATGTTACCTTTCAAGGATTTATGTTATTAAATAATGAGATGTTCATTTTGCTTATACGTGGAAATTCTGGCATATCACACTCTTTTCATATTGGCAGATGGAACGCTCTCCAGTTTTGGGTTGGCTTTTTCATATACGCGTCGCAAGTCTACTGTTAGTATTGGGCACATTGGATTATGTTCTGCTTATGCATGCTTACAACTCAACCCTTGTTCGTGGTCCAACAGTACAATTAGTCTTCGGTTTCGAATATGCTATATTGCTAACTGTGGTCGCAAGCACTGCGATCAAATATGTGCTACATGCTGCAGAAATGCGCACCGACATACCATGGGAGAATAAGGCAGTATTTCTCTTATACACCGAACTAGTGATTGGTCTAATCAAAGTTATTTTGTATGTACTTTTCGTTGTAATAATGTCCAAGATATATGCGTTGCCGATGTTTGTATTCCGGCCAATGTTCTTTACGATAAGGAACTTCAAAAAAGCACTAAGTGACGTTATTATGTCCCGTCGCGCTATACGTAACATGAATACACTTTATCCAGATGCTACCCCTGAGGAACTACGACTTTCAGATAATATATGCATCATTTGCAGGTACATTCTTGCAATTGAGATGTGTACCAAATATTTCATTCATATGTTTAATTAATTTTTACAGAGAAGACATGGTTAATCACTCAAAAAAATTGCCCTGTGGGCATATTTTCCACACCACTTGTTTGCGCTCATGGTTTCAACGTCAACAAACATGTCCCACATGTCGGCTAAACATATTACGCGCACCCAACGCTAACTCAACGGCGATGCCAAGGCAAGAAGATGCAGCGGGCGGCGGGGTTGCAGGACAAGCAGCTCCTGCTGCTGCGGCTGGCGTTGCTGCTGCAGCAGCGATAAATCAAGCGCCTGGTGGTGATGGTGCTCGAATTGACGGACTAGGATTGCCCAACGCTACCACTCTCCCCGGCTTATTTGAGAATATAGCAGCTGGTAACACCGCCTCTAATCAGATACCAGGTGGTTTACCCCCGTTCTCTACAACGGCACCGCCATTAAACTTTCAAGGAGTGCCAATGGCACCGCCATTTGTGATGCCTCCTCCATTCCCATTTATTGCCCCATATGCTGTACCACCACCTCCTATGCCACCGGATCTAAGCACATTGAGCGACGAAGAACTAAAAGCTTTGGAAGGAAATGAACGTCAACATGTTGAAGAACGTATCAAGGTATGTTGTTTAAATTATTTATATTACGTTAACAATAATCGTAAGTTTTTCTTTAAGCTGCTACGAAATATTCAATTAATGCTAAATGCTGCAGGGGTTCTGATGAACAACTACCAAATCATTAGTGCGCGATTGCCATCTGTACAGCCACCACCACCAACTGCTGCTACATCAGCGGCTTCGAACNTTGCTGCTGCAGCAGCGATAAATCAAGCGCCTGGTGGTGATGGTGCTCGAATTGACGGACTAGGATTGCCCAACGCTACCACTCTCCCCGGCTTATTTGAGAATATAGCAGCTGGTAACACCGCCTCTAATCAGATACCAGGTGGTTTACCCCCGTTCTCTACAACGGCACCGCCATTAAACTTTCAAGGAGTGCCAANGTGCTGCTGCAGCAGCGACAAATCAAGCGCCAGGTGGTGACGGTGCTCGAATTGACGGACTAGGAGTGCCCAACGCTACCACTCTCCCCGGCTTATTTGAGAATATAGCAGCTGGTAATACCGCCTCTAATCAGATACCAGGTGGTTTACCCCCGTTCTCTACAACGGCACCGCCATTAAACTTTCAAGGAGTGCCAATGGCACCGCCATTTGTGATGCCTCCTCCATTCCCATTTATTGCCCCATATGCTGTACCACCACCTCCTATGCCACCGGATCTAAGCACATTGAGCGACGAAGAACTAAAAGCTTTGGAAGGAAATGAGCGTCAACATGTTGAAGAACGTATCAAGGTATGTTGTTTAAATTCTTTATATTACGATAACAATAATCGTAAGTTTTTCTTTAAGCTGCTACGAAATATTCAATTAATGCTAAATGCTGCAGGGGTTCTGATGAACAACTACCAAATCATTAGTGCGCGATTGCCATCTGTACAGCCACCACCACCAACTGCTGCTACATCAGCGGCTTCGAACAGCGAAAACGATACAAGCAATGCTCCGGGCAGCACCGCCAGCTCCAGTCTTACTAATTTAAGCGACGGTCCTAGTACGTCCGCTGCGGCAGTTGCTGCTCTAGCTGCAACACATTCTAAAACGGAACCGAAGATATCAAGCGCCAACGATGCATCACTCACAGCAGTCGCTCTTGATAAAACATCACAACCTCCGTTGCAAAAGCACAATGATGTAACTATTGAGGATATAGGCGGTGAAGAGCATGACTATAGTGTCACGCAACGTACCGCCTCCGCTTCTACGGCTGCGTCTTCTTCAGCGCATACGCCAAGTGTTGACATCAGAGCTGATGATAAGGGCACTGCTATCTCAACCGAGCAACCAGAGAATGCTGAACTTAGTGAATTAAGAAAGCGACGTTTGAAATTCCTTGAGGAGCTTAAGAAATCCCCGGCGTCAACACCAGCTACTTCAACAAACGACTAGAAAAAATGAGATATATGTTTTTTTTTTCGTTTTATTTTTTCATAATTCTTGTTTTTATTGGGAAATCGATGGGAGGAAAAAAAGTAAATGTTATAAAAATATAAATCGTATAAAAAAGACGACGCGTAAATATGTAGGAGTTGTGGTTAATGAAAACCGAGGAGAAATCATGAACTGTACTGTATTTAATAACATTATATAATTAATAAAAATATACATCAACTGAAAAATATTCTCGAGTTTAAAGCTCAAACAGTCAACGACATAGGGTAGACGNCACCGGATCTAAGCACATTGAGCGACGAAGAACTAAAAGCTTTGGAAGGAAATGAACGTCAACATGTTGAAGAACGTATCAAGGTATGTTGTTTAAATTCTTTATATTACGATAACAATAATCGTAAGTTTTTCTTTAAGCTGCTACGAAATATTCAATTAATGCTAAATGCTGCAGGGGTTCTGATGAACAACTACCAAATCATTAGTGCGCGATTGCCATCTGTACAGCCACCACCACCAACTGCTGCTACATCAGCGGCTTCGAACAGCGAAAACGATACAAGCAGTGCTCCGGGCAGCATCGCCAGCTCCAGTCTTACTAATTTAAGCGACGGTCCTAGTACGTCCGCTGCGGCAGTTGCTGCTCTAGCTGCAACACATTCTAAAACGGAACCGAAGATATCAAGCGCCAACGATGCATCACTCACAGCAGTCGCTCTTGATAAAACATCACAACCTCCGTTGCAAAAGCACAATGATGTAACTATTGAGGATATAGGCGGTGAAGAGCATGACTATAGTGTCACGCAACGTACCGCCTCCGCTTCTACGGCTGCGTCTTCTTCAGCGCATACGCCAAGTGTTGACATCAGAGCTGATGATAAGGGCACTGCTATCTCAACCGAGCAACCAGAGAATGCTGAACTTAGTGAATTAAGAAAGCGACGTTTGAAATTCCTTGAGGAGCTTAAGAAATCCCCGGCGTCAACACCAGCTACTTCAACAAACGACTAGAAAAAATGAGATATATGTTTTTTTTTTCGTTTTATTTTTTCATAATTCTTGTTTTTATTGGGAAATCGATGGGAGGAAAAAAAGTAAATGTTATAAAAATATAAATCGTATAAAAAAGACGACGCGTAAATATGTAGGAGTTGTGGTTAATGAAAACCGAGGAGAAATCATGAACTGTACTGTATTTAATAACATTATATAATTAATAAAAATATACATCAACTGAAAAATATTCTCGAGTTTAAAGCTCAAACAGTCAACGACATAGGGTAGACGTAGGTTGGCGCAGACCCGATCTACCTTATGGGATTCGCGTGTTTATGGGATTCGCGTGTTAACCAAAACTCCACCTCATGGCGGTGACGTCGTTGCTTCTCTCTATCAACAGTAAATTTGGTATGCTATACGTCAACCTACGTTTACGCAACGTCGTTGACTAACTGCGCTTTTATGTGTCTCGTGAAGAGCTCTGAGATCATAAAACCGTTAAATTTACCGAGTTTGAACGTCAAATCCAGTTGATTTTGTAAATATAAATTCGCCAAAAACTTTTACAAATGGGGTGGCAGTCATCGACCAGATATATGTAGGTGTGTGTCGTTCTTGTTATGTAGACCCGGCTGTCGTGGGAACGTCGAATTTTGTTCGATTTAACCAATTGCGAAAATTTATCTGAACTCAGTTCACTGAAATCCGGCACTCAAAAGGTTAATGTTGAGAAAATCTGTCAAAAAGGAGGATGATTTTGACGTTTGTTTTGCCAACTTTTCGCACGTTTTTGTTGAATCGCACGTGTACTGGACCATTTGATTACAAACGGAATAATTTTTGTTTCAATTTTATAGAATACTAAAATGGTCAAAAATAAAAGAAAATCCATGGAAGAGGTAAAATGAGTCATATTTGATGGCCTAATATTATTGTAAGTTTCAATTTTTTTCTCAAAACGCAGGTAGAAAGTGATGTCGCGGAAGATTCAATGATTGAGAACGGGACCAGCGAAGGAGATAGCGAAGATAGTATGGACGACATCAAAATCCAAGAATATCTGGAAAACGATGATGGCTTCTCTGAGCGAGAAGAACTGGATTCATCTGCCAAAGATAAGGAAAAGGCGCAAAAAGAACCCAAAAGCAAGAGGAAAGTGAAAGAACCCATGGAAGCAAGCGTCACTACAGTGACCCAAGCAAAGTTGAAGAAAACAAATCCTGACAAAATGAAGCCACCAACGCTTGAAGAGATTAATGAGCTAAAAGAGACGCGTAATCTCTTTCATTCAAATCTTTTTCGCTTGCAAGTTAAAGAAATGTTGGCTGAACTGAAAGTTAAGGACAAATACCATAACTACGTAAATAATTGGTTGGAACATTTTAAGCAGTTTTTGAGTAAACTTCAAACACAGCCTCAGAAAGAGGATATGAATAAGCAAGGGTGGATAAGAAGTAGTAAAATCAAACTTCCGATTTCGTTGGAAAATTTAGGAGTACAACAACTAACGGTTTTCCAATTTCAATTCATAAAAGCGAAAGTCTCGCCATATCTCATAGGTGCTGCTGCCACGCAAACTTTACTTGGCCCGAAGCTAGTCGCCGATATTTGCCTAGCCATGCCAGAAGAGTGCTTTCAAAAGGAGAACTATCTAAATTTAATATATGACCAAAAACGCGCATACTATTTAACTTACATTGCAAATAAACTACTTAGCAGCGCCGAATTCGGGAATGAGCTAACCATTGACAAGCTAAAATTCAGCTACTATAATAACAATCCTTTAAAAGCGGTATTGGAGATTGCACCAACTCTAATAGCCAGAAGCAGTGGCAAAATAAACATAGCAAATAAGCTGCTTTTGCGTCTATTTATTACAGCAGAAGAAAGCTCTTTCAAACTGAGTCGCTTTGTTCCATGGAATAATAATGTGCGTGCTAGAATTTTTGGCGATGACGATGAAGAAACGCTGCCAATGGCGACACCAAATTATAACGCTGGTGTTTTATTCGATCTCACTATGCAACGAAACCAACAATTGTTGCATGGTATTTTCGATGGGAGAAAAAATTTCCAAGAAGGTCTTGTATTGTTGAAAGTTTGGTTGCGTCAACGTGAATTCGATGTAGGATTTAACGGCTTCAGTGCGCATTTGCTAGCAATGTTCGTATCGTACCTTTACAAACAGCGTAAGCTACATGTAAATATGAGCAGCTATCAAGTGGCGCGCACCGTCTGGAACCAACTGGGTAAATAATTGGATATTTCACATATATTACAACTGCAAAAATGTCTTTCAATAGCATACAGTGCATGGGATGAAGATGGCAAGGGTATTTCATTATCTGACAACTCTACTGATCTCGCTAATCAACCCACATTGGAGCAATTCCATACCTACTACGATGTTGTTTTCGTAGATGCTACTGGTTTTTATAATATGGCGGCTAATTTAACGCCAGATCTGTATCGTCGTGTGCGTCTAGAAGCGAAATTAGCGGTGGACATGTTAAACGACATGAAAATAAATAGCTTTCAGATACTTTTTATGACAAAATTTCCGCTCTATAGCCAATTCGATAACTTGCTCAAGTAATGTTTACATGGTGATTTGAGAAAAGTTCTTTCTCTTTAATAGCTTTTAATACTTTTACAGAATCAATAAGAGGGATATAGTCGAGCAAATTATTGAGATGCATGTCGCACCTGCAGATAAGTATAATTTTGCTGGTTATACGCACCCATTACTACTAAAGGTGGTAGTTAGGTATGTACTTGTATATTAAAATTCACAATCATCACCATCAATGCTATAAGCTTATTTTAAGTCGGATTCATTCCCAGAGAGAGAAGCATAACAACAATCACATGCAAAAAAGTTTAGAATTAGAACGATGAATCCGCCTTTACAGGAGAATTTTTAACTTAACATGGCTGTTCTAAAAATGCCATAAAATCCTGAATTGAATTTTTGAATGGGGTTGTATTTGTGAGAAATGTAATAGAATATGTAAAAAGGCTTTAACGAAAAAGTATCATAGAGAGCCTTTGCATTGCTAGTGACAAAGTTCTTCAGGAAAAATGCTGCAATATAATCGATGGATATTTTTTGCTTGTTTTTTTTACTTCAAAAATGTCAAAAATGGTTAATCTATTTTGACACTCTGATGTCCAAAATCAACAACTAAATCGACACCTGAGTGGAAGATAGACCAATCTCAGCAACCAGTTCGAAAACGCCTTATCTCAGAAAACTTTTCAAGAATGTCCTACTTCAGAATCTGATTGAAGAACGCCCTTTTTCAGCATTTTATTGGAATGCTTCCTATGTCAAAATTTGGTTGAAGAATGCCCTATCTCAGAATTCGGTTCAAAAACGCGCTATCTCAGATGAAAATGTTTTTGAATCGGCACTGAGACGGCGTTTTTGAACCGAGTTCTCAGATAGGGCGTTCTTCAATAAAATTCTCGATATACGGCGCTCCTCAACCAAATTCTGAAACAGGGCGTGATTGAGAATGTTTCTAAGATAGTGCGTTTTTTGAGTACAAAACATAACATTCCAACAGTGTTTCGGGAGCTGGTGGCCTTCGGACGCCTTCAAATAAATATCATTCATCATTCCCACGCCGGTTACGTCATCCACAAGATTCTCAGAACATAAAAATTCTCAAATTTATTACCGTTAAGCCATATACCTTTATTTCCATGCATACAATTACCAAAAACTTAGTGAGCTAATTACTAAAATAATAATATTTAAATAATATTTTTGTATTCACAGTCTGCTTCGAAAAGGACTTGGCGAACGTGTGCGTGCTCTGCTACCGATCGAACAGCCAACCGATGCTTGGACTTGCACAGATAAAGCGCCAGATTGCGCACGTTACTGCCATCTTGGCATTGTGCTCAATCCGGAAAAGGCTTTTGAAGTTTTAGACAAAGGTCCGGAGTCTATTGCAGAGAGCGCTAACGAATTTCGTAAGTTCTGGGGTGATAAAGCGCAATTGCGGCGCTTTCAAGATGGCAGTATTACCGAATCAGTTGTGTGGGCTGCAACAACTGACAGCCTATGGAAACGGCGCTTAGTGGTGCGTTCAATTATCGCACATCTCTTGCAACACCATTTTCAATTAGAAAATAAAGATTTTGATTATATCGCGGGCGAATTAGACATTTCTTACCGATTGACGCCTATTTTCAAAACAGAGAAAATGCATGAGAAATTTAAAGTAGAACAAGATGTAGATGCTGAAGATACTTCCCTGCATGTAATTCGAAGTTTTGATGACTTGGCGCGTAAGTTGCATGCTCTAAATGAACTCCCGCTCGAAATCGTCTCAATATCTGGTATATCGCCGGTATTTCGTTACTGTGAGCCTGTACCGATACTGCCACAAGCACGCACGATGGGCGAACAAATTTATGCTATGCAAGTGCAATATGGTGTTATACAATTGGGTAATTGATATTATTACAGCGACATATTACACAAGGCAACAAAAATCGAAAAAATGTGTTGCGGCAAATGCTAAAGCTGTTTCCTGATTAACTTTTCTGTGCTGATAACGAATCCGTGAGTATAAAGTATAAAAAAACGAGGTCATAGTGTCAAAAAATCGCGTTTTTTGCAATATTTCAGAAACTCTAGCTAAGAACCAAAAGGCGAAGCTAGAAGTCTCGACTACTATCCCTGAAAATATCATCTGTCCACCTTGACTTGATGGTTACTTATAGTCATTTGTTGAACAGCAAAACCTGAGTTTGTGCGAAGTTTAAGCAAAAAAAAACAAAACTGACTTCAATTCCCTTGAAGTACATCCTTTCCGATGAAAAGAAAAATTATCAAAATCGGTTAACGTGATCCAAAGTTATGTATCCGGTAACATACATAAAAAATATTCTGACAAACTGATAACCTTCTCCTTTTTGTGAATTCGGTTAAAAAGGTAATAGAGCCTTCCACATAGGCTTAAATTGAAGCTTGAATTTTCGGCTACATACAATACATCTCTGAACCTCAACCCTAAGGGCAGTTATAACTATTTATTTAACAGCAAAAAAAAAAAATTGGCAAAGTTTATTTTTTTTTTTTAATAGCACAGTATTTCAGTATTTTTATATTATTCAATAAATTACTATTAGTGACAATCAGGTCAAGGGGCAAGGATAGTACTTTCAGGGATAGTAGCCGAGAGTTATAGTATTAATTTTAGCCTATCAAATAGTTATTTTTTGCCAGACTTTCTAAAATATTGCAAAAAACGCGATTTTTTTACACTTTGACCTAGTTTTTTTTTTAATCTCGCGTTGATGGAAACTTTATACTTACGGATTCGTAATCAGCACAAAAAAGCCTAGCAAAAACAGCTTTCACATTTACCGCAACAAAGTCACTGTTGCCGTGTGTTATCTAATGAAAATCTTAATTGGCAGGACTTAGTGGCAAATGGCCCAGTGAATTAGGTGCCCTACGTGCGCTCAAAGTAGCCTTTTACATACAAATTGCCAAGTTATTGCGCGAAAAACACAACCTCCGAGCAAAGGTCACCTACGATGGTATTCTGGTTAATAAACAGGGTTATTGCTTCGCTATCGAAATGGCGCACCCCAAAGAAGTCGCGCTACTCAAAAAGGAGAAAAGCGAACGCGGCCTAATACAGTACGTCGACTGTGAGGCGAGCATTGCCTTAGAGAAACGGCATTATGTGCTGCCCAAGGTGACTGGCGCACTGCATGCCTTATATCAAGTACATAATAGTTTTGGAGGCACAGTTATGATCGCCAAACGTTGGCTAGGTTCGCAATTACTAGATAACGGCATATGGCCAGAAGAGTGCACGGAGCTGTTAATTGCCGCACAATATTTAAAAACACCAGCACAACAGATTCCATGCTCTCCGCAAACAGGATTTATAAGATTCCTACAGCTACTGGCGGGCGCTGATTGGCGAAGCGAGCTCTTTTTATTGAATTTTAATAATACGATGGATGGTATGTAAAATGCAATATTATACACGGTAATATGCAATGTTAATTCTTGTAATTTTTATCAAATAGAAAATGCTGTAGCTGATTTGGAACACCGATTCAGCATAGAACGTGATACATTCCCGCCTTTATGTATAGCTACTTCTTTCGATCAACAGCATATGGGTAATTTATGGACCTCGCTAAACAAACCTAACGTAAATGTCTTAGCACGTGCGACTTTGTTAGCACGTCACGCAGTGTCTATAATCGAGGGTGCGCTATTGTCCACTAAGGATTTGTTAAAGCCTGGCCGGATTTTTATAGCGTCCAATAGTGGTTACGATTTGGTAATTCAGCTTAAACCGGATATGGTACCCAACTCATGGGCTCATGAATTTGGTACTGCGTTCACAGTGCGCACGAAACCAAATTGGCGTTTACCCTTGGCTGATAGCAATTTTTTGCAGAACGCGGTTGCAAAGTTGCGGGTAAGTTGAATCGTAACCTATAAAGTGTATCTATAAATGAACACCCCTATTCTGCAACTCTTTCGTATTCGGATTTTGCTACGAATCGTATGCTGCAATTCGAATCGTATTTTCAAACTTTCGAAATTCGTAACAATGGCATGCCTAAAAACGAATGAGTAAGCTTTTTTGCGTAATTTTGTACGAAAACAATTCTGTGTCGGAGGCGAGATAAAATATGTAAATCGATGTGTGTTTGCAGAAAATAGTAGTGGTGTTCATTTAAACAGATAAATTTGCGTTTCGCATATACGTACATTTTATCCACTGCTTTATATAAAGGAGCAAAAAAGAATCTTTGTTGCCCCTTATCGAGAAACTTGGGTCCGGTTTAATTATTTGTACAATGATATTCGGTTGTTGTGTCCAAACGTATAACCCGAATCCAACAACTTTAATATCACGTGTAATCAAAGGATTAAAATTTTATTTAAAATGAATGTTTCCAATTTCCNTATCACGTGTAATCAAAGGATTAAAATTTTATTTAAAATGAATTTTTCCAATTTCCGAGTACTAGCTTATTAATAAATTCGGTTTGCACTATGCACTTTTTTGCAAATTTCGACGTGGGTTCTGCGCAAAAATACTGTGGATGGCGTAGTCAGAGTGATATTCACAACAAGTGTTGTATACATTTGACATGCGGAAGCCCCCGGCAACACAGAAAGGAGAATTCTACTTAGTAAGGGTTATAATCCCTAAGCGCGGCCGAAGGCAGAAGCAAATGCAACAGGTGGNGTACTAGCTTATTAATAAATTCGGTTTGCACTATGCACTTTTTTGCAAATTTCGACGTGGGTTCTGCGCAAAAATACTGTGGATGGCGTAGTCAGAGTGATATTCACAACAAGTGTTGTATACATTTGACATGCGGAAGCCCCCGGCAACACAGAAAGGAGAATTCTACTTAGTAAGGGTTATAATCCCTAAGCGCGGCCGAAGGCAGAAGCAAATGCAACAGGCGGTGGACCTAACAAAGTGCATGTTATGTTTTCAATGGCTTGGAAGAAGTTGTTATTGCATTAACTGGATTGAGAATCAGTTCTTCAGGCATAGGAGTAGTTCTGGCTTGTGTCACACAATTTTCAGTAACTTTCGAATCGGTCCACCCATATACCAGTAGGTTAAACCAATCTGTTTTTCTTCAGTGGTTGTTGTTGTTGTAGCAGTATACAAGTTCCCCATAGGGTTTTTGGGGAGTGTTGCTGGAGTGACAGTCCTTGGCTAAATATAAATCTGGGTCGTTCCGGTTACGTAGACCCGACTGTCGTGGGAACGTTTCCTTCAGTGGTATTTGTGCTTTCTTTAGGGTGCTGCTAGGCGAAACCGAAATTATTACTTTAATACCATCGCCCTGACAATCTGGTTTACTATTTATATTTAACTGACTTCTAATTAATTGTCACTTAAGATCCTTTTCCTAAAATCTTATTTACAGCTACCTTTGCCTAGAATAATATAGATCAGTATTTTTTATTATTTAAAGATATTTAATTCTTATTCAAATTGTTATTTATTTCCATTTACAGGAGGCATATTCAGACTTTGCAGCCTTCTTTTACAATCCACATGGCGGCAAGGAAATAGCGCTCATATGGAAGCCTGACCTAAGCAACGAAAGAGATTTCAAGGTCACTGAAGTTAATGGTTGCGCTCTAAGCAGTAAAAATGCACAAAAAGTTGTTGTTAAAAAGGAAATATTAATCGAAGACTTCAAGTTTATTCTCAAAGATATATATCAGCGCATTGGTACAGTAGATGAAGTGCTCTCTGCCTCACGTAATGCAACGATTCCAAATGTCAATGAGAAAATGCACATAGCAGGCCCGAAGAGTTTTAACAGAAATCTTGGGGAAAATCGTTACTTTTCAAAATCAGATGTGGATGAGGCAATAACTGAAAAAATTATTCCAAATCTAAAGTCGAGCTCGAAAAATGCGAATATAAAAGCTAAGCAGAGAGCATCGAAAAACAAATCTGCGAAAGGTCCGAAGATCGGTGTAGCGAGCCAATCTAAAAAAATTAAGAAAAAAGTGAAGTCTTCGCAAGTAGCAATCAAAAAGTAGATTTAAGATGTGACAAGCAGAAAACAATAGACTTTAATTTTAGTTAAAAAGTATGCCAACAATAAAAATAGGAAAGATTTTCTAAATCACAGTTTTAACCGAGTCACTTTAGTTCTTGCAAGTGGTAAGACTTCAAGTGACCCTAGAACAAATCCAAGCAAGTTTTGGTGGTGTCTGTTTTTTCAATCGCAATTAGTAACCGGACTGTGCCATTTTACGTTGTTTCGCTTGTTGGCGCGCGCCCAAGCAGTTTGCCGATCGTGATATGTGTGGAGAATATGAAAACGGCAACAAGTTCTCATCTACGTCCATGGTATTACATGCGCGCGTACAGTACTGACGTCTGGTCTCTGTAGATCGTGGCGCATACGGTGAATGTTCAATTTCCGTTGTCGATGTGGCTGAAGTGTGATGCAATGGGTACTAAAAAGGAGATTAAATTATGTACACACACACAATTTAAACAATTTTCAAACAAACCATTGAAGTTGGTGTCAGCATATTGTTGCTAGCCTTTGCCCATTCCAATTGCTGTTGCAGGGTTGCTGTAGCTGGTGAAAAATCAGTTAATGGCGCTGGTGTAACTGTAATGGTTGGTATTAGTTGTCCTGGTTGGACGTATTGCACCAAATCAGGCATTGCCATTTGTGTGGCTGGTTGCAATTGTTGCTGTTGATGTATTTGTTGCTGCTGTTGTATTGTTGCGGCAACATTGCACGCACGCGCTATCAGTTCGGACAGCATACCCATGTTTAGCTGATTACAGGTCGCAGTCGGCTGCCGTATATTCGCCAAAAAAGTATCGCGTGCGCCATTATTGGGATCCGCAGTATCCATTCGTACAAATTCTCCTAAGGATAAATAATTGAGTGATAAACAGGAAACCACATTTTAGCATGGACCGTAATGGCTGTGATCTTTAATTAAAATTTAATCTTAAAACTGAATTTCTGTTTTACCGATGAAATTTTTTCGATACATTTTCGATCGTTATTACAACGCTTTTATCAACTTACAATGTTGTATGTCCAGACACCATTTATATCAAAGGTATTATGGCAAAGTTTCTATACTACCTAGTCTCGACATCAACTTCGTCGGTAGGTATCATATCAAATACTTAGAATTAGACTCTAGTGGTAGATGTCGCCTAGCCAGAAGAAGTTAAATATTGCGCCTAAAAATATGCACTACATACGCTACAGCGGGAATGGACGACACGCCATTTCTTTACCTGACATTAATTGGTGCTCGTCAGTGATGCCAGACACTCTGTTAAATTACCCATGAAAATCGGGGAAAATCTCTTAATTACCAAAATTCCCAATGAATTCAAAACATATATTTCAGTAGTAAAAAAGTTACATTCATATATTTACCGTTAACATACATATCGTCATCTAAGGGTGAAATGGTGCCAAGTCCATTTTTTGAAATTGTTCCGGAAAAACGAAAAATCGATGTTATTTCGTATTACCTGCAATTCTGCATCAAAAATTTTGAAAAAAACTGGACTTGACACCTTTTCACCTTTAAGTAGCGAAATTCAAAGGTCGGTTGAATACTTACTGGCAATTCTTAAAACTATAACTGTGACAAATTTTTTACATTGTTTTAGCTAATATGATTTTTGGTGACTTTAAAGTTGAAGCGCTTTTTTTGATTCAAAAGCAACCGTTCGCAGTAGATAATTTCAGGAGTTAAAAGCCCTTCTGAAAGGCCTTCCTGAGAGTCAAGAGGCCTTCCACTCTACATTCCCTTCTCCTTTCTTTTTTGTATGTAGTGGCACAAATTGAAGGGCTTCTTCTTTCGCTACCCATGCAGGGCCTTCCAGCAGGGCTTTTATAGGACATACTCCAGAAGGGCTTTTGGGGGAGTTCTTTTAAAGTTGCTTCTTTAATTTATAAAAATCATACACCTTTGAAGTATTTTTGCTTGCGGTTTATATCAAACATGTGTTATTGCAACTTGAAATTCATTTGTAATGCTAAATGATATAAATTTATGCATTCGCGTAAAATATAAATGGATAAGCCCTTCTAGAAGGCATGCAAGGAAGCACATTTTTTCAGCCCTTCTTGGGTAGGCCTCTTAGAATGGCTTTACTTAAGAAGGCCTGCCTAAATTTTCCTCTGGGTTATTTTATATACATATGTACATGTACAAATAATTTCATAGGATAATTTATTGCGCTTTTTAGATACGTTAACCACCATTTACAATTGAAAAAAATAGGTTAACGTGATAAAAATTTCAAAATTGTCCTAACAATTTTTAATACTTACACAGAATTTTACTCCACATCACATCTTCCGAACGATTAATGACGTAAGCGTATCGAATGTTTTTGAATTTTGATCAATTATGCTTCGATAATTGTGTTAAATGAGAATTCTTTTTTATTTGAAATGTCACTTTTTCCACTTTTAATAATTTTTGTTGCAAAATATCCCTCAAATAGGGAAATTACCCACAATCTGGCATCATTGGTGCTCGTATGTACTATGTTTGTATGTATGTACATTAGGGTGGTTCAAAATAAGTAAAGTCGGAATTTTAATGCTCTCACCCCCAATTTTTTTATTTTGAAATCAAAAAATATTTAGAGCTCGCTCCAAGCGCTCCAACTTTTCCATGTATTTTGTATGGGGAAAAACAACTTTTCATGGAAATGGTATGGAACTCTTGAAAATCAATATTTTTCGATCGGAAAGTCTTCTGAAGAGACTTCCAATAACAATATCCAATTATTTATTTAACCATTTTTTAATAATGAAGATTTATTATTTATTCCCCCTATGCATTTTCTGGCATTATCAAGGGGTTTTGGCAGTCCTATAAAATATAGTTACTAAGAAAAAATTGTTAAAAAACAATTGGGTTTTATTATTGGGAATCTGTTGAAGAGAATCAGAGTCTTCCGATCGAAAAATATTGATTTTTGAGAATTCCATACCATTTCCACGAAAAGTTCTTTCTTCCCCATACAAGATACATGGAAAACTTTAAGCGCTTTGAGCGACCTCTAAATATTTTTTTATTTCAAAATAAAAAATAGGGGTACACTTTTTCTCGATATAGAAATATCCTAGGGGATGAGAGCATAAAAATTCCGACTTTACTTTTTTACATGCATTTTTGGACCACCCTAATGTACGCACATATCGTCGATACACACGAATAAAGGCGCGCTAGTGTTTTGACGGCGAAAAAAGGCGCGTAAAAAAATTTTGCGAAAAAATATGCTTATGAAAAACTTCGGCGAAGTACATATGTTAAGAGTCTTTGACGCTGAAGTTCTTTATGCGTCTTTTTTCGCCGTCAACTTTTGAGCTCGCGCCTTTATTCGTGTGTAGTGACGATATACGTCGCCTGGGTAAAAGATTGTCGTAAGCGCCATTTTGACGATTTTTGTTCTAGATGCAGTTATATATTTTGAAATAAGGTCTTTCGATTGGTGTTATCAGTTTTTAGATATCTCCTTTAGTTTCCTAGATATAAATTTTTTCGGTAATTTAGTAAAAATTTAGTTAGTGATGCAGTCTATCTTAAAAATGGCGTTCTCAATTTTTGGATATTTTCTTTAGTTTCCAAGATATTGAGTAAAAAGTGTCGTTAATTTGGTAGAAATTTTGATCCCATTTTGTCGTATTTCATACAAAGTAGCTGTCAAATTGTGGACAAATGACGCTTACGACAAAATTTTACTAAACAAAGTCCTTCATAAACTCAAAACTAATTAACAATAAACATTAAAAATTACCATAATTTAAGAATCTTGTGAACTAGTAACATTTTCAGAGACTTTGGAGAAAATCTATCTTCGCGATTTTGAGAAATTGTATTCCAAACTTCAATCGCGATTTCCCAAAACCTGCCGAAATTAACATACGACAAATCTTTTACCCAGGCGACGATATGCATGTGCGTATAATGAAAGAGAATATAAATAATAAAGTCTGATAAGGTACCATATTTACTTATGTATCAGAATTTCGTTGAATTATTGATGTGTATGCATTTCTTTGGTTTCGGTAGTGGTAACATTTGCGAAGATGTAACGCACAGCCCAGCAAACAATTACGAAGGGCTAAAAAGAGACGAACACATGGTGTTTGTCTGAGTGGGTGAATTTGGTGGAGTGACTTGGGAACCACTTGGGGTACGGGGTGCCCAGTTAGTATTCAGTAGGTATTCAGTCTGAGACCAACCAGTCAGGGACCAGTTGGGCATCAGTTTGGGGCTAGGCCGACACTAGTTACTTTCGTTCCATTTTGGGCCTAATTGGCTGATTTGAGCTCCAGTGGCCGTTTTGAGGCGTTCGAAAGCCTTTTAACTTAATTTTGGACGCTGGGAGTGCCGCATCTATATATATATAATACGCGAAGGCATTTTTTGTGCAGCATAAAAGATCTGCAGCGTTCGTTCGATTCTCAAAAATGGGGTTTCAAATTAAAGCGCTTGGTCTGTAGATGTGCAAACTGGTTTTATTTTTTTGAAAGGAGTTGCCACCTGTTAAATAATTAAACTCAAGTTATTTGCTAATAAATGCCCTCAGATCCGCACCGTCCGTTCGATTTTCAACCAAATTAAAGGGCTTAGGGTGTTGATGTTCAAGAAGGTTGCCACCTGTTAAATAATTAAACTCAAGTTATTTGCTAATAAATGCCCTCAGATCCGCACCGTCCGTTCGATTTTCAACCAAATCCAAGGGCCAAATTAAAGGGCTTAGGGTGTTGAATTTCAAGAAGGTTTTACTTTTTCGAAAAAGGTTGCCATCTGTTAATAATTTAAGCTCAAATTAATTAAAAAGTTAAATCAATTATTGAATATGGGTATCAATCGAAATGGTTTTGAAAAGTTTTTATAACTTAGCTACGTATAGGAGGGTTGCCACATGTTAGAAAAAAATTTAATTCAATTTTAATTAAAGGAATTTGGTAAGTGAATAAGGTATCGCTATATGGGTGTCATACAAAAGAGGTTTAAGAAGATAGTAGTTTGAAAATATTTTGAATAGGGTTGCCACCTATTTTAGAAGTTTAATTGAACTACTTTATACCCAAGTTATATAAAATATTAATGATGGATTCAAATGAAAGAGCTTCAAGAAATACTTGGTTTGACAATTTAGAAGTAAAATTATCTAATAAGTTAAATGAATTAAATGAGTTAAAATCCTTTATTTCAGAACTATATTTAGGAGTGTTGCCACGTGTTTAAAAAATAAATTTCCACTTAACTCATCAGTTACTTAAAATATTGATAACAATGTCAGACGACAAATATTTAAGGAAATTTTAGTTGGAAAAAAATTTTTAAGATGGTTGCCGCCTCTTTTGAAAGTGTTGTTTCGTTTAATTATAAATAAGTTACATGAAATTTGTCGGCCGCTGTGGTGTAGTGGTAAGCAGTGCGCGCTTCCACTCCGCAACACCTGGGTTCAAACCCTGGTGAAAGCAACATCGCGTAAAAAATAAAAAAAAAAGGTTTTTTCTTAACAGCGGTCGTCCCTCGGCAGGCAATGGCAAACCTCCCGAGTGTATTTCTGCCATGAAAAACAGCTTCTCATAAAAATACAATCGCCGTTTGGAGTCGGCGCAAAACTTTAGGTCCCTCCGCTTTGTGTGACAACATCAAGGCGCACGTCACAAATCGGAGGAGAAGCTCGGCCAAACACTAACATATGTGTAAGCGCCAATCTATTATTATTATTATTATTACATGAAATTTTAAAATATGGTTATCAAAAGAACGAGTGTTAGGAAATCTTTGAATTGTACATTTGGTTTTTTTTTTGTTTTGTTAAAAAAATATAAGCTCAAATTATTTAGTAAGTTAAATGGATTTT